TCACACACTCCATACTGCAATGGTATAATAATCAATTTATTAAATTATCAACATTTTGACATAGGTTTTCTTCAACACATTGAGGGATGTTTCAATACCCCGAAGAAGACTAACGTTGAAACTTCAGTAATTTAGTAAATTCATTTGTATTGCATTTTGGCTATGTGTGTGACTGCTCTTCCTAACATTTGTATATTTGCTGTGGTCAGTACCTCTCCCAACACTGATGCATCCCTTCCCTCTCGTAACTTGGTTACTTATTAGGGCAGGTAAATGGGAACCGGTCTGGAGCAGTCATGCGCTTTTAGGTGAGGTTCTTCACTTAAAATCCCATAATGGATAGGCTGAAGAAGAAAATATTATGATTTAGGATTTGTTTATTTGTAAAAATGTAAAAATTTTGATAAAGAGGAGAGAGGCCCCCAGAAACAGCCTTGGTCCAGGGCCCAGAATTTCGGTAGAAGATGGATTGTCAACTAATGATGAGAATCTTTTGGTTTGGTGTTTGCCTCCTTTGTAAAAAAAAAAAACTGCATAAAAATAAATAAATAAGTTTAAAAAATAATTATTTTAAAAGACAGAGGGCCTACTTTTCCTGCGTGCACTAGGTCTGACAACACATGGCAGACAGCCGGTTATGTTTATTCGGATTTTAGCTGCAGGGTCTAAATCTTCATTTTGTGCCTGCAGAACAGGTAACATAATGATGGAAAATGACTCCACACAAATAAACAAAACATTCAATGACATGCACCTTCCTCCTGTGTGTAAACCAGAGGCCTAACACAGTGTGGCAGTTTTGTTATTGAAGTTTACCATGTCTCTTTAGACGGATGTCAATCTTTTTTTATTTTTGTTTTGCTCACTTGAAGCTATTGCATAAAATTTGAATGTGTTTATATTTATGCAGAAGAACCAATCCCAACGATCCACTGACCGACTGTGGAAGTTCAGCCCTGAAAATTTTTGTATTAATTTTTTTTTTTGGTATGGGGCTCTGATGCGTGAATGTATTAATTAATTAATTCATTCATTCATGTGATTCTTCATACAAATGTGAGGGTGTTCTTAAAAATGTGTCTTATTTTGCTCAGATGATAACATTTGAGAATTGGAGATGCATAATGCAAGGTACACATTGTGGCAACTGCTGCATTCACAGCCCATATACAGTGTCTCTTCAATCTGACTCACAGAATTTGCAACAGTATTTTCTGCTAAAGAATAGGGAACATAGAAGTACGTAAATCAAGAAAATGCAGACCAAACAAACTGAGTTATTTTTTCCCCATGCTCAGCGTATGCGTATGTGTGTGCATGCGCGCGCGTGCGTGTGTGTGAATGAGAAAGAGAGAGCAAGAGAGAGAGAAAGAGGGAGAGAGAGGAGGAGAGAGAAATTAAGAAAATATATTATTTTTAAAATATTGAAAGGGCTGTTCTGTACTGTCTTATTACTGAAATTCCCAAGGGGTTTTCAAGTATGCCGTTCCCGGCTTGTTTTAGTGCTGAAGCCGCAATTCTGTAAAGCACTACAGCTGAAGAAGGGAACTCTTCGGCGGGTGAGAGATAATCATGCTTATCTTCATCTTTACGTCTTCCTGTCTTCCTCAGCCCCCTCTTCTTCTTCTTTTTTTCTCATCTCCTCTTATGTTAAATAGCACACAGTCTGTTACAGGACAAACTCATCTTTAAAGCCCTTTGTTTGTACAGCAGAAGCTAACACAGTGTCCCCCAGTCTGCACCTCATGGCGCTTTTCCACTTCATGGTACCGGCTCTACTCTACTCTACTCTACTCGGCACCGGGTACTTTTTTGGGGTTGCTTTTCCATTAGAGGATAGTACCGCCTCCGTGGTACCTGCTCGTCTTTGCGACGCAGCATGTTACTGCCGCGATGGCATCCTCAGTTATATCAAGTTCACTTTTATTCTGTTGATTTTGTTAAATATGTATGTGTTTAAATCAGGGGACGCGCACTACGTCAACACTTTATGGCAGTAAAGTCCGCGAGTGTTTAATTGTAATTTCTGTTAGACATTCTCCTGATGCATAGGATAGCAGCTGCTGTTGTGTCCGATTCGGTTGCACATTAAATAACGTACCACCCAAAAACGTAAAGCAATGATATACGTAAAAGGCACAGAGTATTCATATTCAGGCTTCATGAAACATTTCACTTTGAAATTGAAGGCAAAACACGTAGCAAATGCTCAAATCGCAGAAGATGGCAGAGTATTAGAATTTATCGCTTTACGATGCGTCATCTCATCTGATACCTTTCCTTAGAACAAAATGCTTCATCAGCACCCGTTAAGTTATTTTCCGCGCAATTTTTGTAAAATAGGGGCAGCAATAACTTTCTCAAGGGAAATTAGGGGAACAGAATTTTACACAACCTTGTTGCTTCTAATTGGGCTATGAACAGGGTCACAGACAAAGAAAAGCATTTCATAAATACAGCAGCTTCGGTGAACAAACGCAACCTTGTTTGAAAGGTAAGGCAACACACTGTATATTTATCAAGCTGCCTAAAACAACACACGTTTCAAAAACACAATTTGAAGACCTGTTTCAATGATGGCAAGTGAAGCCAATTTCCTAGCGATAATGCGGAAGCGAGTTGTCTTTTGCAGAGACGATTCTCTTTGACTGATTCTCTCAGGGCTGCAATGTTGCATGCAGAGGTGGACAATCCAGGTTCAGAAAGTAAAAGTCCACCCCAGTATTTAGTTCCAACCTCCTGGATTTGCTGAATAAAACAGCCCTTCAGACCAGAGGTTGGACTAGTCAAGAAAATCAGCTGGTTGAGTTGATGGGTGGAAGTAAAACATGGTTGGACTTTTACTTTCTGACCCCTGGAATGTCCACCTCTGGTTGCACGTCACATTTTAGTACCTACTAGTACCTGGTCGGCCGTTTTTTGGAACCCCAAGAGAGCAGGTACCAGAAAAAGTACCTACTAGTACCAGGTACCAGGTACTTTTTCCCTAATGGAAAAGCAAAAAAGTAGAGTAAAGTAGAGCCGGTACCGTGTAGTGGAAAAGCGCCATCAGTTAGAGATGATGTGGAGTGTGATGGAGTTGGAGGTGATGGCAGTGGAGTAAGAAAATTCCTCCTCTTCATTTTTTGAATTCATTCATTAATTGTTACTCATATTCGTTCAGTAACTGTGTTTGAAGTTGTAGTTGTTGTACGAAAATGGGCATTATCACTATAACGACTTATGCACTAAGTTCCAAACACTGCAAACAGCAAGTGGAAGAATAGTTGTGAGTGTTTCATGCTGTAACAAGGTGGAATTTTCACTACTTAGTAATACTTTAATGGCCTTCATTTGCATCATTAAAAATGCATTGTTTACAATAAGTTTTGTCCTGAGTAATGATGTTATTTAAAGCACGGCAGAGGTAGCATCATAATCATCTATCCAATGCATCAAATATTAATGTTAAAAGTAACCATTATTAGCACTATGACTTAATTAAAATTACTATTGTATTTTTGGAAGATGATACAGTTGCTGACGATGGATTAAGCAGTATTTACTCAAATGGCAGTCTTGGCTGTAACTGTGCTCTCCTTTAAGATACTATCCATAGATGTAGGTTACTGTGATTTGAATTGCATCATTGCTGGTGAATGTTTAGAGAGTTGAATGAAGGGGGAAAGCATTGGAGTACCTGATGAGAACAGACCACATGCGAATTAGCAGTCGACGTGAGTTCTATCCTCCTCACCAGCATGCCAGTGCTAGCTAAGTATTTGAAAATCAACTGAATATAATTCAGAAATTAAATACTATTAATGCAGTTTTCCAGCTAGAATTTCAAAGAAGCAGGGTTCAAATTTTTAAAAAGGGCACATCGGCGTGTCAATTCCCTCCTGAAGGGCGCTATATTTATTTATTTATTTATTCATTCATTCTGATGACTTCATTTGGTGTTAACATAAAATAGTATAGATGCTATACTACTACAAAGCATTTGAGAGGAAACTTTAAACACAATATATTTAGACTTTTCTTACACAAAAATTTCTATCCTCTACAGCAAAGATAGACCCCACAAATTCCAAAATAATTTTCTTGGGAATATTGGATAAAGACTCTGCAAAGTACAACAATATATCATTGTAGTGACAGGTCATAATAGGAATCATCACAGTACAGCAAGAAAGAAAGAAGAAAAACTTGTTTTTCTCCCACTGAGGACAGACTACTTTTGTCAGAGAAGAGATATAGAAAAATAGCACAGGACAGATAAACCGCCAATTTTGAGGTTAATGACTTTTACAGCTCAGCTTAACTTTGCCCATTTAGAAAAAATATTTTTGCTAAAGATGAAAACCCCACACACGATCCAGCGATACACATCGTATGTCACTCCGCTTGGACTTATCACAAACAGTCATCTCAAATCATTACAATAAAGACAGAGAAAAAAACTAGCAGGGCACTTGGTAAAGTCGCGGACCTCCGTCACGCCATATGTCAGTATTATTGGTTCTCCCGGATCTAGAATGTAAAATTCCAGATCACTTCCAAAAATGAATCAGCTCATGCTTAGACTACCACCTACCATCCAACCAAATTTGGTGCCAATCGGTTTATAACTTTTTTTTTTTTAATTTGGCATCTCCAATCCCACCCAAATCTGGAATGTCCAATTGGGGAAATATGTCTAAGGCTTTCGCATATGCAACCGCCTGTTGCCAATTCAGGAGAGTGAAGATAGCGCGCGGCTCTCCTCCAAAGCACGCGCCTGTCAGCCACTGCTTCTTATACACTCATTGGTTGAAGTTCAGAACGAGGGCGGTGGATACCCAAACATGAACAAGCTTCGAGTTTTCATGACGAGCGCCCGTCTGGCCAATAGGAGGTGCCTAAAGAACGAACAAAGCAACTTATATTACCCTTCCCGGTAGACCCTTCCCAATTTGCATCCCTGTAGCGCAATGGCCAATTGCGCGCTACTTCTGAAAAAGCTGCTGACCACTGCCGAATGGTGCGACCGGGGTTCAAACCCGCGCCATGACAGTCACTTCTGCTTCGCAGTGCGATGCTTTAACCGAGTGAGCTATCCGGCAGCTTATAACTTTTTGAGGTATCCTGTTAACAGGCAGACAAACAGACACGCAGGTGAAAACATAGCCTCCATAGCAGTAGTAGTAAAAAAAAAAAAAAAAAAATGCACAACAATATCAAAAACTTGTTTCCTGCCACTGTGTACACACTAGGTATATCAGATGCAAAATGTAAAGGCTAATTCTTACAGGGAAATCCTGAACAAAGAGACATGATATTTATTGTATGAATGAATTACTTGACTTCTCTTGATAGCTCGCTAATAATCCTCTGTGTTTGCAGATTAACCAGTGCATGTCAGCTCTGGACAACACACTTTCCTTGTCCAACGTCTTCAAATTTATTTTCACATTCATCAGTTTTTGCATGGTTAGGTTGCCATGTATACATCTAAATAAATGGTAATTAGGATTATCGTTACCTGTCAATTTGGGATAGTATGCCTTTCAGATTCTAGATTTGAGACCTGCGAAATTGAAAACAGGTACTGTATAGGTAAATGCTGGACAAACCTGAAAATTCTGCATGAACCTGCAAGTAAAATTACACATGCACATGAATTACGGTGTAGGTAGTATATGGTGTTACATACGGTTTAGATTTATGTGTTTAGCTACCCAACTTGTTGAAAAAGAATGCTCCAAATTTATATGCCTCATGGTGGTTACACAAACCATGTACTAGCTACATACCCATTAGAGATCATGCATATTATTTTCATTCTTTTCTTCACTAGCTATTTTGTTTTGTTTCAGTTTTGTCTGCGTAAAGTTGCTTGTTGGTCGCTGCTCATGCTGTAAAAGCATTGCTATGGGTCACATGACAAAGCGAAAGCCTGTGATTAGCCAACAGAAACTGATAACACATTGGATATCCCCGGGACAGTCCTCACTGGGCACTTGAATTTGTGGGAGAACGTGCTGATGAAGGACAGTTAATTTTGTGGGAAAAACAGGGCGGAGGCAGCAAAGGGCAGGGAGCCATGAAATGAGAACTAAGTGCCCAGAAAAAGGCCGAGGTGGAACACTGCTGATGCACAATCACTCGGTACATGAATAATTTAGAGTGATTGTAATATTTAGCATAGCTCCAAAATTTATTTGCATAACAACAATGCTTGAACTTGAACGTCTAATGACACAGTGACAGGGCTTTTACAGACGTGAGCTTTGATCTCCATTTTATTTCACTCTCATTATCTCTCTTGCATACATGGACACAAGCTATCATGGCTGGGTATGTTTTTCAGAAATGTTAGCTGTGCTTTTCATTTAGTTGCTCTCTCTGTCACACAGTGACAGAGGTTTTCAAAAATATTGGCTCCAAACTTCTATCAGTTGCGTGATCTCTCTTGCACACACACACACACACACACACACACACACACACTCTCACACTCTCTCACACACACACACACACACACACAGTCCCAGCGCAGAGTAAACCCCGTGTTTAACGGCTCCTCCTCCATATGAACTCTCAGACTCAGAATACCGCTGTTCTCTAACACCAGACTTGCCTGTGAAGCCATCGGGGATGTTTCCCTCGCTAAATCTGAGGCTGCTAAATTTGGAAGGAAGACTCCTCTCATTCGCAGCGTGTTGTAATGAGCTTGAGGACGCGTCTGGCTGTGAGCGGCTTGGATGGATTCAATATGCTTCTCCTCCGATTACAGGGCGTAATTACAGCCGATACTGATTAGAAACACAACCCCCAATGCTGTGATGCAGACAGTAATGAATGAGTGTTGTTTCTGCAACTTAGCATTCATTATCGTAAGCAAAAAGTCATGGCACACCTCATCTGTTTTTTTTTTTTTCTGCAGTGTGATGAAGCTGATTGGAAAAATGTTATGGTTAAGAGCAACAAGCTACCCTAGCATTACTTTAAGGCCACTTAAAACTATCACTGTTCAATACAGCCATGCAGTTTTGTCTCACGAAAAGCATCGCTTCGCAGTAATGTGCTCCCATACTGTCGCCGAATAAACAGTGGAAAGGTAGAAGAGCCATAATTTCTGTTCAAACAGGGTGAACAATTGATGCTATGTGATATTTGAAGTGACCAGCTGTTGGAAGGTCAGCTTTAAACCTACGTTATGCCCTTGTTTCAGAGAGAAATCTTGAGAGTAAGGCTTACTGAAGGGAACTTAAAAATAGTATAACCATAGAATATTCTCCTGTTGAAATCTTACAAATTACAAGTTATGGCACATTACGAAGCCCCGTGTCACGGTAATTGGACTTTACTGATTACAGTGAACTGAAATTAAAGGTAGTGCTGTTCTTTCCCATAATTTTATGAATTATTTATGCCTGTTCACTCACTGGTGCCCTATGATTAGAATAAATCATAGATCACGGCTCTGAGGTGGATGACTCCAAAGGTGCTAATTAAGTATCTTAAAATAAAAATAAGGAACAATAAAAATGGAAATACATAATGATAATAAAGACAATTTTTTATAAATTATAACAGGGAGAGTATTGATTTAAGAAACTACTGAAAGATAGACAGACATGCAGGCAGGTAGGTAGGTGGGTAGGTAATTAGATAGATAGATAGATAGATAGATTTTAGCCTGCGTTAAAAACACCCTTCTCCTCAGAAGCTGTTCCTGTTTAATTGCTCCAGAGCACAGTGTGATTTATCTAGAAGAGGCACAGTATCGGAGTGGGGGCGGTTAAGGCACGTGTCTATGGCGCGTAAAGATTGATTGGCTGCGATGCAGCTCTGGCCAGTTTAATCTCTGCAGTCCGAGAGCCGAGCCAATGATGTCTTACTTCACCCACAACATCCTGCGTCGTGCGTCTCTCCTTCCTGTCCGAGCTATTGCTGACCCAACACCACTCCGCTCAGTCGAGATAACCCCAAGAACCCGCCCACCCACGCCAATGACGGCCAGACATGGAAGACAGATGAAAATGAAAGAGAGATTGCTGGAACTTGAAGATGATTTTTGAATGACACTGACAGGAAGGCAAACAGTGTACACGCTTGTGTGAGAGTTCCCTCTGTTATGATACTGACTCCTGGATGGACAGACAGATGTATGGACACACGGAGGGAGGACGAGTCAGACGATAAAGAAGTAACCCTCCTCCATGTCTGACACCCCCCCACCATGCTCAATCTCTCATGCTAAAAAAAAATGTGGGCTTCATTTCATTTCTCTGTATCTCTCCTGTCCACCCACACAAACTGAGGAGAGGAGCAAGAAGGAGAGAGAGAGAGAGAGAGAGAGAGAGAGAGTTGCACTACCTCTCACCCTATGAAATGAACACAGAATCAAGGAAGTAATGTTTTCAAAATTTGAAATGCCTGTCCCTAGGAATGATAGAGAGGGATGATCAGTCCTGCTCAGGGAGAGACCCACAGCGTTGCTGGCTGCTCAGTATGTAAGTGTGCCATAGCCTGAGAGACAGTGTACATTTCCCATTTTTGGGTACTGGAAGCTTATTTATTCTTAAAACATAACTGATTTTAATTATTTATCATTTATTTATCATTAATTCCCAAATGAATGGTTTTTTTTAAATTTCTTAATAGCACAATTATGGATATTTTATTTGTGAGATAATAATGCATTGCTTCGGAAGTGTTGCTGCTACTGCTGTTGTTCGGTTTAGCAGTACTATGCTAATTTTTCAGCCGTGCCAATAAAGCTCATTTGAAATTTGAACTGAATTGAATTGAGAGAGGGAGAGGGAGACAGAGAGAGAGAGAGAGAGTGAGAGAGAGAGAGAGGAGAGGAGGAGGGGGATTCAGAAATCAGGTTTTCTGAACTGCATTCCTTGGTTTCTTGTGTGGGTGTTGCGGTGCAGAGACGCTGGAAGAGAAAAGGAGAGAGACAAAGCGTGAGAGAGAGGAGAGAGATAGAGGTGGAGAGGCCGGGTAGAGAGACGGTGTGGAGAGACTGGGGTGGAGAGGGAAGGAGGAGAAATGAACAGCTTCTTAGAGAGAGGGAAAGACTGAAGCACCATCCACACCAAGAATTACAAATATAAACAATAACAACATGATCATTTGCACCAAAGAGCAAAAGCGCCTCTCTGAATTTAAAGGATTCATTTTTAATAGCTGTCATTTATTATCGTTCAAAAAATTGCTCAGAAAGTGCTGACAAAAACTTTTGTTATCGCGATAATTTTAGCGTCATCCACTAGTTTTAATGATTTTTACCTATAGGTATCCTTTTAGTCTACATTTTTGGTGTGGACGACCCTGAAGTTGGTGGAGAGACTGAGGTAGGGATTTAGAAATGGGGCGATCGACTAAGGATGGATAGAGAGAGAAAGGGAGGATTAGAGGGAAAAGAAGGGAGAGAAAAGGATAGAGGAATACGGAGAAACATGGGAGAATGTTCTAAACATATGGTTCAGTAAGAAAAGTTACGCCTAGTTTCACCCATTTCTACGTACGACCAGGGTTGGTAAATTCGAATACCATAACCACTGGCTTCTTCAAGCTAGTGGCCCCTCAGAATCCTCTCATTACACAGACAGATGCGCATCTGCGACACTTTGTGGGCACTGTGCAAAAATAATAAGTCCTGGTCCACAGAGATGTGTGAAAAATGTTGTATGGACGGATGAGTCACCCTTTGCCAGGCAGTACATGTGTTTTTTGCACTTTACTGAAGACTTGGAAAACTTGAAAGAAAGTGTTTGCACAGGGAGTAGCTAGCCTTTATTTGATGTGTGTATTTATTTGAAAGCAGATGGCGAAAATGTCTAGGCTAATAATTTCATGTTTATAGGCCCGAAATGAGCCACACTTTAAACTGACCATCATTCTAACCAGTCAACCAATCTGACAAGTCCGTTTTTTATTTATGAAATTTTATTGGTGACCAATTTTCATAAATGTGAGCAGGCTGTGTTCCCGTGATGTATTTTTAACTTTATTCTGACAGGAGACAACAGACAGGGTGGTCTCCCACAATGAGTCATTATTTACATCACTCGCACTCATTCACTGTCACTCATGTCAATTTGCTTCAAA